AATTGTGTGATGGAGGGGGGGGGGGAAGATGGCATCGTGTTTTAGACAAAGATAAATTTTATATTGGCATTTTTAAAACATGTATGTGACCTAGAACAAATTTTAAACAACATTTTTACTGAATTTTATTCTAAGAAAGACCGGTAACATGTCTTATTTTTCTCTTTGGTGCACACTACTCAAATATTAGGTCTTTGTCAAATTGTACAAAAAATCCGATCATTGTTTATTCTTACTTAACCAATTATTAGTTAATTTACATTGAGAACTAAATCTAACGCGTACATCCTAGAATAAAAATAAAAAATTAAAAAATTGGCTTGATTTGTTGGCTATGTAGTTCTTTGCGCATAGACAAATATATGCAAAAAGCATATTTCAGTTTCTAGCATGGTCAGATTTAGAGATAGAGCTTTCTAAAACATCAATGAATTTCATACAATCATGATAAACAGATTTGGGGATTTGTTCATTATCCCAATAAAGCTGAAATGTGCAATATGCACATATTTCTTTATGTGCATAAAGCAAACCAAGCCAATTATTGCTTTTGCATTTATTTTTCTTGGATGTACATGTTAGATTTAGTTCTCAATGTGAATTAACTAATATTTGGTTATGTAAAAATATACAATGATCTGCAGATTTTTTGTACAATTTGATAAATCCGAAAAACCTAATATTTGAGTAGATGTGCACTGTGCAGAGCAAAAATGATTACCAATTTTTTAATTTAATTTATACTTATTTCACCAATTGTTTAAAGTAATTAGTAATATCAAGTATAAATTAGTTAGTCATTTGCTCTTATGATAAAAATGTAATGCCAAAACTATCAAAAAAGGCTGAATCATATTCTAACTTGAAATGCCATAAGTTTTACGACAAAATAAGGTCTCTTTCCTTTGTTGGTAACTCTTACTTAATCTCGTTTATTACACAATCAATATTGTTTGTTTTTTCGTTTTTTACATTTTTGGTTAAAAATGTAAAATGCATCCATCAAAAAAATATAACAAAAATCTTGTTTTAGTATTTCTTTAAATTTTAAACTGAAACAGATAATTGTAAAGAAATTGAGTTTTTGCAACGAGCTCAAATTTTCAATCCCAATATCTTTTTAACCTGATAGTGAAAACTTTTGATATTTCAAACCTAGATTGTTTGATCTAACATAATGTACAACAAAAGTATACGACATTTAATAACAACGAAGATACAAAGATTAGAAAATCTGAGTTTTTGGCAAAGACTCAATTCCTTTAAGCATAAATATTTCACAATCTTGATCCAATCAAATTCTTTTATAAATTCAGCGCTCAGTAATCTGGGTTTACCAATCTAATATGGCCTCACAATAGGGCTATATCTTTGACCTTGAAAGGGTTCCGTATTTTTCACCAAAACTGCTCAATATACTGTTCAAATATTTAAACTTATATTTTAAGATCTGATATAAAAGAGATAAACTTTATTTATTTTTATATAAATATTATATATATATAAAGTATTGAGCACATATTCGCACCTTGAAAATCACACACAAATGGTATGAAAAGATACTTTTGCGAATATTCGGAAAAAAAGCTGTCCTAGCCAAATATATATGGCAACGTAAAATGTGTACAGCACAACTGTATTTTGACGGCACAAGTGTCAATTCAGTTTTTGTGTCCGACAAAATTATTAATAATAGTGATAATTTTAGAATGAAGTGCTTATCTGACATAAGTGTAATTTTATGTGTTCTATAGTTTCTGTTTATAATTTTTTTTATTAAATCTTGGATAACTAATGTGAGAAAATTTTGTTTTCCTTGTTATTTGACACTTGAGACGTCGTGTGTGATTGGTCCATTTCTCTGTTGCCCCCTATTATACCTAATAATCGATTTGGTCCCAGCAGCTGTGCTCGGTCAAGAAATAATGCAAAAAAAGTCTGATTAATCTGATGGCTTTTAAATAAATATTTTGTTTTTAATAGTCTTTTTTCAGAAGCTGTATTGGTATGCTAGTATATTCCTCCTACTGGTTACAATAGGTTTTCTTATTGGTTGGTTTTCATCAATCTTTCATCATACGCCAAGGAATGTCGTCTTCAATCTTATCTTAAAATATCAATAATTTTACACTTATGGCTTTGTAAAGAAAAGTATCGTCAAATTGATTTCTTAACTTATTATACGTGTAAATTTGCCAAATAAATTGATTTTCTTGTACATTTTCTAAACCATATAGTTTATTTACTCTTTAGTTTAATAAGCTACCCAGGGTAGGATTACTTGGGGTTAACAAAAATTTTCTATCCTGGGTAATCCAACTCTTGATTTGTTTGCAACCATGGTTTGAAATGTAAAAAAAAACTTGACTCAAGCGTAAAATCCAAACAAAACAGAATCCTACCAAGGGTAACACAACTAAGAAACCTAGCTGAATCTCGAGTAGTATTTTATTTGGCTACTGCAGATTTAGTAAAAATTGTCTCAAGGCTCAAAGTGTCCTTGTTATTATAAGATTAAAGAGTACCGTTAACTATTGGTCATGCAATTCTAAAAGATATACTTCGTTAGCCCTTGCAATGTCTACACTAAAATCAACGCTATTCATTTACTGCTGGACAGCCAATATTCAGAACAAATTATTTAAAATCTCAAAAAAAGATTTATTGAATATATGGATAAACTGCCAAGTCTAGCGTCAGTAAATGAAGACGATATTTATTAGAGACGCTGATTATGACGATGATGAACCTGGTGATGATGGAACATGCAAGGTTTGACCAAACAAAATGCTTTTTGTACACAGGGTACCCACAAAGGATGAAACTTAAAGACGACCTGAAACTCTTAAAATATGTCTTTCTTGAATAAATTCTTTTAAATGCTTAGTTAATGATTTGGCAAAGAAAAGAACAAGTTTGCAGTTTAAAGAACCCATGAGATAAGAAAACAGACAGTACATATTCCGTACAGTCGTCTCTGAAGTTTCATTCTGTAGATAACCTTGTATTTAATGTTTTTTATCATACTTTGGTAAATGTTTTTCTTCAAATTTTCCAATTTCTTCAGATTGAAGGAGTTCAAAGCCCTGGGCACTCTTGTCATACGTTTCTAGTCTGTAGAAACTTAAAAATAGGTAAATCAATATTTTAATGGGACTGTGTCACTGTATTTAATGGGACTGTGTCACTGTATTTATGGGACTGTGTCACTGTATTTAATGGGACTGTGTCACTGTAGACGTAATTTCAAGCAAATCTCCCGTTTATAGAAAGCCATCTACGATACAACACATAATCAATGAGAACAGTTTTCCAGCAAGAAAAACGACAATATCTTTTATATTTGAATCAAATCACGGGTTCAAGGGGACCTTTCAGGTCAAACTTTGAATTTCAAAACCAAACCTTCTTTTCATTTATCGTTCGAAAACGAATAAAAGTGGTTTAAAGTTCAAACCAATATTCTTATTTTAATTGTTCAAATTTATCAACAACAAAAAGTTTCTTTTTGATTTTAGACTTCAGTAACAAAAAGTTCAAAAATATTTCTGAAATATCCCAAATTGAGTTTAATTGTTAATAATTTCTAGTTGAGGTGAAATGTCCAAAATTTCAACATTTTGACGCAAAATCTCTAAGCTGTCGTTGGATTCACCTTGCAGAGTGCAAAATTCGGGTAATTCACTTTTTCATATTTATTTAATCTACTCAATCATTCAGTATTTCTTCGCCTTTGTAGTTAGTATATGTCGACAAAATTATTTCATCTTGTTCGTTATTTTTTATAAATGCCGCAAACTGTTTCAAAGATCAAAGACGATTGAAAAGTCGTCTGATTATTCTTCAATAAACTTTTCTTACATCACTGTATCATATTAATAACGTGTTTGATGAATATTTTGATACTAAGACAAAAACTGCAAGGGTTTAAAGTGTAAATGCTTATATTGAACAGAAAAGCATGTTTTTTAAATTTTAAATATTATTTTTTAGCATGGCGGCACAGTTGAAGAACCACCTAAAATAATTCCACCTGAGGATCTTGTTCCAGTTGATGTACATGATGATGACCCTGAACCTCCTGGTCCTGTAGGCGGGCAGATTCCTTCTCTTCAACAGATTCTAGATACAGAGGTAGCTCCAATTTGAACATTAAAGGTCGCATAGCCCCGACGCGACGTTGATTTCTCCAAAATGGGGGGGGGGGGGTCAGATCCTAACTCATATTTTATCATTTCTACATAACTGTTACTTACTATAATCATTTCAACGGGTTACATAAATTTATCTCGTTTTACAGGTTTGGATGTTGAAGAAACACGGGATTGCAAAAACTAGAAAAAATCTCAGGTATCTTAGATCTATGTATTGTAACTTAATACCTAAATTTTAGTTTTTGTGTGACTTTCGGCAAACCGTATTGTTTAGTGCTTTTTAACGGGATTATAAAATTTTAAAAATTTTAAAATCATGTTTTCAGGGGAGAGTCAGTCGGATGTCAACTAGATTTAGCCCCTCTGGATAAACTTCTGTTAAGACCCTGAATAAAATAAAACACTATTCTTTATACAGGCACAATCAGAATGGTCCAGAATTATTTGGAGGTTAATTAGGCGATTTTACATATATATCTCTGGCAATTTTAAATGCTCAAAAAAAGGCAGACCACATTTTGGAAATGGCAGATTTAGGGCTATTTTGCGATTATCGTTTCATCAACCATATTAGTAAAATTAGATTGTAAAGTCGTCTGATTAATTATAAATTAATCCGGGTCTGTCTGATTATACACTGTTCTTTCTTTAGAACTCTGTCTAACCAAGATGTTGAGAAGATTAGTCCTAGAAGCTGGAAGAACCCAGAGAATGTTAAGATCCTAGGAAATTTATACCACGCTATTGTCCTTAATAAGATGGATATCCACGCTTAATTAAATGTTGTTTTAGGGCGGGTTTTAAAAGTTGATACCATAACTACATAACTTAAATGATTTTTTAATATTTTCATTAAATACCTTCATATCAGCGAGGTTTAAACATAGAATCCGTCCTTGATGAGAAAAGCTGGGATTATTTATTCCCAATCCGACACAAGAACTATACTTACAGGTAAAGTTGGGATTATTTATTCCCAATCCGAAACAAAAAAATACTTACAGGTAAAGTTGGGATTATTTATTCCCAATCCGACACAAAAACTATACTTACAGGTAAAGTTGGGATTATTTATTCCAAATCTGACACAAGAACTATACTTACAGGTAAAGTTGGGATTATTTATTCCCAATCTGACCCAAGAACTATACTTACAGGTAAAGTTGGGATAATTTATTCCCAATCTGACACAAGAACTATACTTACAGGTAAAGTTGGGACTTTTATTCCCAATTCGACACAAGAACTATACTTACAGGTAAAGTTGGGATTAATTATTCCCAATCTGAAACAAGAACTATACTACATGTAAAGTTGGGATTATTTATTCCCAATCTGACCCAAGAATTATACTTACAGGTAAAGTTGGGATAATTTATTCCCAATCTGACACAAAAACTATACTTACAGGTAAAGTTGGGACTTTTTTTCCCAATTCGACACAAGAACTATACTTACAGGTAAAGTTGGGATTAATTATTCCCAATCTGATACAAGAACTATACTACAGGTAAAGTTGGGATTATTTATTCCCAATCCGATTTAAGAACTTTACCTTCATTTAAAATTTGCGGTCTGCCTTTTGTGTGCCGTCAATATTACCGGAGATCTTGAAAATTTTGTTAAGATAATTTTGTTAAGATTTTAATTTATTTAATAATACTGAAGAAATGGCAGACCGACAACGTTTTGGAAATGTCAGGACTAGAATTATTTTGTGATACAAAACTCTATAATTATACTTCTACAATTTGGTTTACAATTAAATTCCGCAAATTATTATACTTCTACAATTTGGTTTACAAATAAATACCACAAACTATTATACTTCTAAAATTGGGTTTACAAATAAATTCCGCAAATGTTATCAAAGATCAAAGACCATCCTCGAAGAGTCATACTTCTGGAAAGATTCATGAGCCACTCTGTAATGAAGCTTCAGTAATATTTATTTAAGTTTCTATTTATTACTAGTGGGTTCCTTCAAGCAGTTGGAAAATTTCCTGAGTTTTGCTCCAGTAAGGATTTGTGCGGAATCTCTCTGGCCATCACTTTTGCACATTTCACGCAGGTTTAGAATATATTACTTTTGCACATTTCACGCAGGTTTATAATATATAACTTTTGCACATTTCACACAGGGTTAGAATATATCACTTTTCACATTTCACGCATGTTAAGAATATATCACTTTGCACATTTCACGCAGGTTTAGAATATATCACTTTGCACATTTTACTCAGGTTTAGAATATATCACTTTGCACATTTTACGCAGGCTTAAAAAATATCACATTTGCACATTTCACGCAGGTTTAGAATATATTACTTTTGCACATTTCACGCAGGTTTAGAATATATCACTTTTGCACATTTCGCGCAGGTTTAGAAGGTATCACTTTTGCACATTTCACGCAAGTTTAAAATATAAAACTTTTGCACATTTCACGCAGGTTTAGAATATATCACTTTACACATTTCACGCAGGTTTAGAAGAAATTACTTTTGCACATTTTACGCCGGTTTGCAAATCCGACTTGCACATTTCTTGATGCAAAAAGAATGAAGAAATTCCACATTATAGTTCCGATTTTTTTCTTGTCAATATTTTTTTTTATTCCTAATCCAATTCCTAATCCTAATCCTATTCCAATCCATTTCCATTCTCATTCCCATTCCCATTCCCATTTAGATTCCGATTCTGATTCTGAATCTGATTCTGAATCATATTCTTATTCTTTTCATTCTTCTTATTCATTCATATTCGTATTCTTATTCTTATTCATACTTATTTTTCTTCTTCTTATTCATTCATATTTTTATTCTTATCTTATTCATACTTATTCTTATTAATACTTATTCTTATTCTTTTTCTTATTCTTATTAATTCTTATTCTTCTTCTTATTCTTGTTAACTTGTTAATTGTTATTCTTGTTCTTATTCTTATTTATACTTATTCTTGTTCTTATTCTTATTCTTATTCTTATAAGGAGACAGGAGCACATGATCCCAGTAATATAAACCCTGAGTGGAGACAAGGCCTCTACTATCTGGAGGAATCTGGGTGTTCAACTAGAGATTGTGGATACAGCGCTAACTGTAAGGTAATTAAAAGGGCCAATGGTAGCCTTTTATTACTCTAAAAAAAGTCTAATGAATGTAAATTTCAAAACGCTTAATTTTTAGTTTCTGCTTTTGTCGAAAAATAATTTTTAACATGATGCAGACACGCTGCTAAAATGATTTTAAATAAAAAGAATTATTATTTTTAAAATTTTTTATTAACCCTATCGATAGGGTGATGCACGATCTAACAGTGGGTTGGTGTTTAAATAAATGGAAACAGATTTTTATATTTTAATTTATTTAAAGATTGACAACTGGTTGACAAAAGCTTGGCCTTGTCAGTATGATAAGAATGGAAAACATCTCAGTTATCATGGAAGGTAATATCATGGAAGGTAATATCATGGAAGGTAATATCATGGAAGGTAATATCATGGAAGGTATAACCAACATTGTAGTATTCCAACTCTTGATCACGAAAGGTAAACTTTACAAAGATCAAGTGTTAGAAGCTAAATTTATTGACTTGGCAACATGTCGGATGTGCGCTGCATTGAATTCAAACTTTTTAATCGGGATTAGAGTAGAGCAGTGTTGACACAAAACCTCTAAAAATAACCTGATTCTGTAAATTCACTTTGCAGGATTGTAGTGTGGTAATAATTTATATTTTTTTAGATTTTAGAAAATCTTTTTTATTCATCTTGTAATCTAGAGGAGCAAAGCAGATCTCGTACAACTACAATTACGGTCAGTTTTCAACCTTTATGTACGGGAATACAACCCATCTACTCCAGTATCCAGGTCTGCTCTCCAGTACTTGGTTGAGTTTAGGATCAGCAATATGGTTCTTTATCATGCCTCAACCTCCTAAACCATCCATGCTAGAGGTTAGAAATACTACAGTTATGATAAGAAAGACCCGGAATTAATTTATAATTAATCAGACGACTTTACAATCTAATTTTACAAATATGGTTAATGAAACGATAATGACAAAATAGCCCTATTCATGTCAATTTCAAAATGTGGTCTCCCTTTATTTTCCGTTTAAAATTATCAGAGATATATATATGTAAAGTCGTTTGATTAACTGTAAATTAATTCCGGGTCTTTCTGGTTATGACTGTATACAGTGTACAAAGTAAGGGTTTATGCGTACTGAGCAGGAAACTTTTGAATGGTGGATATCGGGATTAATGCTTGATTCACTCTTTTTCTTAGTTTCGAGATTAAATAGTGCTTGTTTTCCTCATGTTATTAATCTCCAGATCAATTTCCAGATTAACTAACCGATCAGGATTTAGGATATCCCATTCTAAAGTTACCAGAGCTGAAAACTTTAGAATGGTGGATATCGAGATCAGTGCTTGATCCGCTCTTTTTCTTAATCTCCAGTGTCCAGATTAAATAATGCTTGTTCTCCTCTTGTTATTAATATCCAGATAAATTAACCGATCGGGATTAAGGATATCTCATTCCAAAGGTTTCAGCTCACACATCATCCAGACAGAACAAACTCTAGGCCGAGATGATATCAGAAATAGGACGACGACATTTAAACATTGATTGTCTTTATTATTCCTGCGAGGTGGGGTAAGCATTACAGTTAAACTATGCGAGGTGGGGAAACCATTTTTATTAAGAGCCACTTTTAAGAAAATAAAAATAATTAATTCAGAGAATATAAATAAATAACAAATATCTTAGAACAAAATTTAGTTATAGTTTATAAATTGTAACAATTTAAATGCTTAACTCCCTTAGATTTTTGAACTGAAGAGTTCCTATACTAAATATATTAGATAATATGAAAACAAAAAAGGTAAAACATACACATTAAGTAGTTTTTGTTGTACTGAAAATTTTTAATATTACAATTTCCTTACCAATCATCATGGAAGCATTACATAAATTATAGATTTTATTGATTCTAATAAATAAAAAATAATAATTTTATCTAACTGTTTGTATCCAATAAATGTCAAAACGGTTGAACCGATTGGCCTTAGGGAAGGTTTATGAATGAACAAAATTAAAAAAATTTGCCTCCATCAAATTCAATTTTCATTAGATTTTTTAAAATTTTGAAAATCCACGAAACTTTTTGTTTAAATTGCGAACTTTTTGTTTTACAATGTACACAATTTGTTTTACAATGTACACAAAGAGAACATGTTCACAATTAAAATAGAATAACAAGAAACTTATTGCATGTTAAATGTAACATAGTACAAATATACTGATGGTACAAGTAAAAAAAACAAACAGAATTTTTTTAACATTTACGTTATAAAATAACACAAATTTGTATTGCAAGAGGTACTAATGTATCTTAATTTACAAACATGTATCCTCTTGGCTTCACTGGACTTATAGAATGTCGTCTACTAAATATATTCGAGCCTGGTGTTTGTCCAGTCTGGATTATGTGAGCTCAGCTCAACCAAATTCAGCTCAATAATGACCTTTAACCTGGGTGTGACCTTAAATAATTGGGAAATAGGAAGACGAGCCAATTTATAAAAAAAGGTATAATGAACAATAGACATTAGTCACGACAATTTTAAAATTTGTTGGTCTTTTGAAATATCAAAATTTTTGTCATCTGACTGCATAACGTTAAAGCTGGCCCTGGGTGATAGTTAACATTTGTTTAACGTGGATTTAGATATTTTTCATCTTTATGGTCTTAGAAGAAACTCTTTTTGTAATTTTAACAAACCCTTTTTTAATGAGGGCCATGTCCGATTTAGAATGAGAAATCATACATTCTTGATAGACAACACTTTTAAGGTTATTGTCGTGAATCATACATGCCACTCCTTTTAAATAAAGTTTATGAAATTATTTTGTACTTTATCATTATTTCTCACTTTATATTTTGACTTCTGCTTGTTTCAAAGCTTATTTGATCTAGAAACAGCCATTGAAATAAGACAAGTACACAAACCATTGAAATAAGACAAGTACACAAACCATTGAAATAAGACAAGTACACAAACCATTGAAATAAGACAGACAAACGTCGTTTCCTAAAATCACCTACAACACTATTTTTTTGGCACGACATAGTATACAGTTTTTGGACTGTAAATTTTCTTTAAATCTTGAAGGTTCTCACATTTTTAGATCATATTTTGTCCCTCGCTAAATTTAAATCTAAAAGGCTTAACCTTCTCGATAAAGAGAAAATTTCTGTCCAAAAATTTTATAACACTTCGAACCAAAATAACAGTGTTATAAATAGTTTTTGCAGTTCCTTTAAAATCTGTTTTCAGGTGGTAGAGGGTAGCTGGAGACCAAATAAAGTAGATGAAGATGCTGGGCTTTATCCTGGATTCGGACTCACAACTAATATCATAAATGGAGGAATAGAGTGTGGAAAAGGTAGAGAGTTGCCACAGAGCAGGAATAGACAGGATTATTTCAGGTACAAGTATTCCATCAAATTTAACTAATCCATCCCAATCCATCCTAATCCATACCAATCCATCCTGATATCTCCATCCAATCCATCCCAATCCATCCACTTCATTTGAGGATGAATAAGATTTGGTCAAAAAAAAATTATTTTTAAATTTGACCTGGGGAAATCGGAGAGCTCATTCAAAAATGTGCTCACTAAACAAGTACAACTTGCATGATTTTTGTATTTTTTAAGATTTGAGCAAATATCTAAGGTTTCTTATGCTTATCTAAGAATTTATCTACGGCCACCCTCTCATAAATTCCAATATTTTCAGACATTTTAGAAAATTCTTCAAAGTGTCTGGCTGGGAGGAGAATGGTAGTTGTAAAGAAATGGATCAGTTTCCTGAGAAGGGATCAGGATCCAGGACGCTTTTCTGGGAGCAGGACTGGAGCAGGAGCTACTACTGTAAACTAGTAAACTATCAAACTCAGTTCTCAGCTCTTGTTCAAGGTATTCCTTTTTAAAGGAAAAACTAAAATTTGTTAATCCCCTTGAGCTTTGCAACCTGATGACGTAAATTTTTTATATCTTAAACTAATAATATTTGATGTAACAGAAGTTCGAAATATCGAAATTTGTGGCAAGGACTCAATTTCTTTGGTAAACATTTGAGATACTTTAACTTTGATTTACTTAATTCGTGGACTATACTTATTTCTTCACATTTTTTTTATGTTAGTGTACACCATGTTATATTTTACAATTATTTAATGTGTTGATTTGTTTACCACGTCTGAAACTCTAGTTTAAAATTTGAAGCTTAACCAATTATGAAAAAATCTGTTTAATGTATCTGTTTAAGGTGTTAATCTTAAAGAAACAGCTTAAAGGGATTAATATTGCAACAGCTTAAAAGGGATTATTATTGCAACAGCTTCAAGGGATTAATATTGCAACAGCTTAAAGGGACTAATATTGCAACAGCTTAAAGGGATTAATATTGCAACAGCTTAAAGGGATTAATATTCTCAAATTGACCCACCCCCCACCCCCCGCAAATCCTGGTTTTCAAGTACCCCAGCAGGGATAGGGTTAAAGGGATAATATTATACAACAGCTTGAAGGGACTAATATTGCAACAGCTTAAAGGGATTAATATTACAACAGCTTAAAGGGATTAATATTGCAACAGCTTAAAGTGATTAATATTGCAACAGCTTAAAGGGATTAATATTACAACAGCTTAAAGGGATTAATATTGCAACAGCTTAAAGGGATTAATATTACAACAGCTTAAAGTGACTAATATTGCAACAGCTTAAAGGTATTAATATTACAACAGCATAAAGGGATTAATATTGCAACAGCTTAAAGGAATTAATATTGCAACAGCTTAAAGGGATTATTATTGCAACAGCTTAAAGGGATTAATATTGCAACAGCTTAAAGGAATTAATATTGCAACAGCCTAAAGTGACTAATATTGCAACAGCTTAAAGGAACTGGAAGCGTTATTTTACTCCCCTCTATTTATCAATTGGACTGTCTGATCCAAAGTGTTACCAAAGTGTTACCCTTTATACCCTAATCTATGTATCAACAGAGGAAGGCACTACAGTTGTTCTTCATTAAAAAGTTAAAAGGGATAAATTCTAATTATTTCCTTCTATGTTCCTGCTACATAATTTGACGTCACTTTTATACTAAAGTAATCAATTTTCACCTAGAAAACATGAATAACTCATTCATCCTTCCGATGTTAATTCGACCTGGCACTCTATATATATGGAGGGCCCAATAAAATTACTCCTAGGGTCCCTTTTTAATTTGAACATTTTAGACACGTTTTAATCCAATGTTTTTTAGGCGATTATCTGAGATGCGTGGAGGACAAATTCTCTGTTATTATCCAATAGTATATCTTGTAATATGTATTCAATAATATTTCCTGCAATATATCTTGGTAATATTTAATTCAATAATATTTCCTGTAATATTTAATTCAATAATATGTCCTGCAATGTATTCTGTAATACTTAATTCAATGGTTTAATAAACTATAAAAGCGATAATAGATCAAATATACTGCTAAAAAGTGTAATATTAAAGGAAAGACAAAAATTACTAATATCGACGGACATGAGATGGGAGGCATGAATCATGAGTTAGACAAGTATACGTAATTGCAAAACGTCTGACTTATCTCATATCTAATCTATAATTGTGCAAAAAATATGTTTCCAAATAACAATTTTAGTTAAATATTTAGAATTCTAGAAAATGCGCTAAGGGCAGTTAAACGTACATAAAAGCTGTACGATGTACACGGCCTAAGTGTTCAAATATGAACAATTTCTTCATTCCATTAATTTAATTTTAAACCGTGAAAAATAGTTGAAAAGAGATTAATATTGTTTTCATTTATTTTGTGTCTGTCTACCTTGAGGCTAAGAAAGGCTTTAAATTAGATTGAAACTATTTAAATCAATGAAGGATGCTTAACCCTATCCCCGCTGGGGTACTTGAAAACCAGGATACGCTGGGGGGGGGTCAATTTGACCCCCCCCCTCTAAATCCCATGTTTTATGTCCAAATATGACAAATGATACATCATTAGAAAGCTCTTGTGCTCTACTTTTAGAATCTGCAAAAAAAATTGCAAATTTGCGAAAATTGAATTTTTTATCGCAAAATCCAGTTTTATAGTAAAAATGTTTGCAAAAAAAAATTTGTCCAAAAAATGACAAATTATACATTTTTGAAAAGCCCTTGACCATGCCATTTCAAATATGCAAAAATTTTTGCAAAATTTTAAATAACCTGATTTTTAATCAAGAAAAACTAAAAATGTGCAAATTTCCTTTGACAGGTTTTTTGCAAAAAATTTGCAATTTTTTGTTCGCAAAACTTGTGCAATCCGTTTCCTTATGTCATAGGCTTTCCAAAAAGCTAAATTTTATCAAAATCTGACAAGTGAAAGGGGGTCAAAACAAAGATTTAGTTTGCTATAGGCAAAAGCAGTCATTCAGGCAGTGTGCCTGAGGACTCAGGCAGTTAGTATTAAAGCCCGGTTTTAGGCCTAAAGGGAGGGCTTTGGGTATGTAAGAAAAGTCAGAAAATTTCAACAGCCTCAGACCAATACTTTTTGAGTTATGTAGAAAAAAACTACAGGGGGGGGTCAAATTGACCCCCCCCCAGCGGGAATAGGGTTAACATGAGTAACAAGTGTTTAAAGATTAGCTCTATTTTTTTCTGAAGCATCTGCTTTCATCCACATTATTCAAAGAAAACCCACTGAACTGTTAGCTAGCTGTCCAACATATTCTTGTCCGTGAAAGGCACATTCTTGACGAAAAATGCCCGAATTTTCCCTGGGTGTGTAATACTTTTATTATTTTTCAAATTTTATTGCGCATTTCTGTCATTCATTTTCAACGGGATTGCAATCGTAGCTTTTTAAGACTAATTAAACCATTTACGTCCATAATTAAGATTTCGATGTTTTTGTACCATTTTCCACAAATCGCTTAAAATTGGTTTGTATTGCGAGATTCGCGTGATATGTGTCTGCATCATTGCAAAATTTCTGTCTTTCATCATTACACGCTAGTTAAACTCTTATCTTGTGTCTAACGGTCTTCTTCCTTTACCTTTATTTTTGGGTCTATTAATACAGTGATAACCAGAAAACTAGAATAGGAAGACGACATTAAAGCAATACTGAATTGCATTTGATGTTTATATATTAATTAATAAGTTACTATAATCAATTATTTAATGAAATTTGTCTAATCTACTGCGCAATTGCTGTTCCTTATTCATATAAATGCACATTGGAATATTTAAAGTCATAACTTGAGACTAAAAGTCGACTTCATATTCCAGAGTTTTCTGGTTATCACTGTAAATGAAATAATTTCAGTTTCCGGTTTCCTGCTGATGAACCTGGTGGCTTTAGCCCAACCCGAGTGCTGCGATGTTAAAAATGTGACAGGTAAAACCTAAACATTATTCAGGATTTTGAAATCAAAATGGAAATTACAGGGCAAGGTTGCATAAAAGGTTGGTTACTCTTGTTGCGCTCCAATGTACGGAAAATGTGTTCTCCTATGATAGATAGATTAAAACCTTAAATCACGTCTTTCTAGTCATTTGAGATTTTTATCTATCCCTCAGGAGACGACATGTTCCGGCAAAGGAGCTCATCGAAAGTAACCAATCTACATACATACAACCTTGTTACAAACTTACAGGGTGTCCCACGAAACATGACAGTTGGTAAATAGTTTAAAATGTATTCTCCCATATTTTGTTAACTTGTTTGATAACTAAGAGAATTATATATTAAAGTTATAGAGGTCGTGAGGACGGTCTATAATAAACGGGGCTAGGGTGGATTTAGTGTATTTATTTATACTTCTTAAAAATCAGTCTTCAATATCACACGAGTAGAAACTATATCTATGTTTGGTTTTGTGAATCAGAGGGCAGAAGCTGTGGAAATATTGTCTTCCACAAAGTAAAAATAAATGAGTAAAATATTTTTTATCGAAATAAACTGCAAAAAGTCTTTATTATATCTAATATCATTAATGATAAATATGTTATGTAATGAGTAATGATCAATGACGTCTATTTGTGCATAATTTTGCATATTTTTTTCTTTTCTTTTGGAAACCTGTATTTTCAAAAATTTATTTAAACAAATTTAAACTACACCATTTATAAATGTATTTATATCTTTGTGTGTGAAAATATTTTTAAATGTTTAATATACAGTGAAACCCTTAATAACGAATACATTGTAAGAATCCATCAAATATCGTATTCTTCACTTTCTGATAATGGAATGTTGCAGATATTTAGTTTTTTAATTAAATGATTATATGGAACTCTTTAAAACTGTTCTCGCATATTCATGGCTATTTATTTATTTTGGCAAATACTGAAATTTACGTAATATAGTATAAAACTCATTGAAAAATTGTGAAGACGACATTTGATAAATTCTTTCGATGTATTCGTTATTGGGGGTTTCACTGTAGTATATGGAAGAAGACATTCAAAACGATTTACCAACTGTCATGTTTCCTGGGACACCCTTTATTAGAACTAAAGTCGTCTGCATGAAAGAATCTATTACACTTTACACACTGATTTAAAATTTCGGTGTTTGTCCTATCAAGTTTTTACTTTTGATCAAAATATTACCTCTTTAACATAACCTTCATTTTTTCTCTCTTTTTTACCTTTTTGTAGCAGGATGCGTTTCAAATGAAAATGAAAAATCTTTAAGTTTTAAGATTGTTGAAGTTATAATCAGATCAAAACGCGATTGAATTCAAATTGAAGAAACCAAACAAATCTAGCGATGGCCAGTCCCAGGCGCGCAACTAGGGGGGGGTAAAACCTTCACAATTTAACATTATTCGCTCCATTAATTTTCTTCATAACTGCTAATTTCTACCAATTTAGGTATTTTAAAAAAAATTCACCGTTGAAAATATTTTGAACATTTTTTTTCTCCACAAATCCTAGTACTATACAGTATTCGTTGTATATATAAATACAATACTTTTGATTTCTACCAAGGTTTTCAGCTGCAGCATTGATATACACGAAAACACAGAGAAGATGTCAATTAACATCTTCTCTTGGTTAGATTGTAAACTTGTAATTTGAACAAATATCAAAACTTAATAAGAAAAGTATATATATATTATAAAGTGTTCATAATTGTAATGATATTAAAGCCAACCACGGTAAAAAGAGATACAGGATGACGATGGCCCAAGAAACATGGATATTAAGTGACGACTTTTTATATCGTCTTCGATCCATGAGACATTTTTTCATGAACACAATAAGTGCAGTATTCAGGTTTAAACATCTAATACCGAAAACGCCTGATCTTGAGATTTTTAAAATGAGGTCTACCATTTTTGTATCTTCAAAATTGAATGAGAAATTGCTATATTTGTATAATTTTCAATTAATTTAATAAATCAAAATCTTAATATCTAATATCTTTGTCAATTTTTAAGACAGGTAGACATCTTTTTATATAAAGCTCGTAAGACGTACAGCCTCGTTTTTATACTTTCGTTGCCATGCATTAAATATCAGAAATCAAAGACGACTTTCAAGTCGTCTTTTAATTTCCATGTTTATTGGGGTATTGTATAATCAACTTTATTAAACCAATCATTTAAATTCTACATTATTCAATCCCAAGCAAATATATATATATATATATCATACAATCAGATTGCCAAAGAACGAGATTTTACGGACGACCTATAAATATTTTACAATAGACAAGCCTCTTCTCCCTGTAAGAATAAACGACCCGAAAGGGAAAAGAAACAAGATTAGTTAACAGCTGCAGGGAACTGTTAACTTCAAGAGTCTTGCAGAACACTGTATCATTATCCTATATCTCCGCGATTGTTTCTAAAATACTGCGTTTTTTTTCATTCTTTACAAGAGAGATAAGTTTGTCAAAATCCGTGAATCATATTCGATTGAGAAACTGCAATCGAAAACTATAAATAAGGATATCTCCTGTTGCTCATCGAAAATCGGACATGGCTTGGCATTTGCATTTAAAATGATGAATCTCAACTTGTGATCAGGTTCTGTAGATGATGTGTTGGATGGTGTTTACTACCTAAATGCTGTGGATGATGTTAAGAGGATGGATATCTGTAAAGATGGATGCGTTTATCTCAAGGAAAAACTGTTTAACGTCCTAAGAAAACATTTCCAATAAATGATTCCTACAACAAAGGGACGTTTAGTAACTTAACGTCCCTTGGGACAATTAATTAAAATAAGTTACCACGCAACAAAGTTTTCGTCAAACAATTCATTTCAAAAGACTACAGAATTATGTGTACAACTACTTTTTCGGGAAATTTCGACCAAGTTATGGCCTCAAAACATTTCTCGCTGCGCTCTGGATGTTTTGTAGATAGTAGTTAACCATGATCGAATTATCTCAGTGACTCATCTAATAACATTCGAATATTTCTTTTTACGCAGGTGTTCTTAACAATCGTCTCATTTGTTTCTAATGGGATGTAAAATTAACTTTGCCAACTGTTCAACATGAAGAGTTAAACTTTAAATATTTATTTAAAAGAAAAACTTTTATTTACAGTTAAACCCTAAATAATCCATTCATCGAAAGAATTTATTAAATGTCGTATTCTTCATTTTCTGATAATGGAATGTTGCAAACATTTAGTTTTAGTTTTTTAATTTGTTGATTATATGGAGCTCTCTAAAACTGTTCCTGCATATTCATGGCTATTTATTTATTTTCACAAATACTGAGATTTGCGTAAAATACGGTGGTAGGCGATTTTATCAATACAATGAAGACCACTTTCGATTTCAATTTTTTATTTATATCAAGCAATTAAACAGCATGGATACACAAAACATATGGGAAAAAGAGAAGCTGTCAATAAGGAAAAGCTTCTCTTTAATTTTTTGTAAGCGTCTAATTCGAAAAAAGCTTGTTTACAATTAAAACGTAAACACAAATGTCGTCTTCATTACATTGATATTATTGCCTACCACCTTGGTATAAAACCCATTAAAAAATTGTCAAGACGACATTTGATAAATTCTGTCGATTTATAATTAATAAAAACCAGTATTCTACAATTTTTACGCTATCTGGTGAAGTTTCTGCCGAGGGTCCAAAATATGGTCTGTTTTTTATGCTTTCAAACGTAGAGATGAATGATCTCTTACAGAATTAAATAATTCTAAAATTATTTTAAAATTTTAAATCCTCATATCTCTGCATGGTATAATGCCGCGGAATCACAAAAAAGGCAGACCACATTTATTAAAATACCAGAGCTATAAAGAGTAATTTTCGATTATTGTTATAATTAATAACTGAATGCCGTGATTTATTTCAAAAACAATCTTCAAGTCGTCTTCGCTCAGCATCTTCTTTTTGAATATTCGTTAAATAATGATACAATATACAATATACAATATACAACATACAACATACAATATACAATATACAATATACAATATACAATATACAATATACAATATACAATATACAGTATACAATATACAATATACAATATACAATATACAATATACAATATACAATATACAATATACAATATACAATATACAATATACAATATGCAATATACAATATACAATATACAATGTACAATTGAGTTTTAGAGATCTGTATAAGCTCAGCCATGTTGAACTACAAAGGAGTTGAGTCTTTGCCCCACATTCCAATTTTCTAATCTCTATATCTGTGCAACCAAATATCTTAGACCTAAGTTGGAAATATCGAAGTTTTACACAATCAGGTTTCAAAGATATATGGAGTAGTAAATTTGAGTTTGTAGCAAAGACTCAATATCTTTGGATTACATTTTTCTAAAGAATCTTCTTGGATATTTTAAAATGTGTAAAATGATGAAACGAAAACATTTGTACCGGGTGTCGATATTTGTTTTAAACAGATTTCACCTGGGCAGGAGAATGTGGACGATAAACTTTTCTGCTTTATGGAAGTTCCGATTGTAGAAGCCTCTGATATCGACTGTAAGGTATAATGTTTCAAATTAGTGTGGGTGCTTGGAAGGTTTAAAAAATGCCAAATAAAAGATCAGAAAAATGTTAAAAAAAAATTTTGGGTTTTGACTTTTGACAAATATCAATATGTACGTGACGAATGTTTCTACATTTATCTTTCAAGGGTTTTTTTAAAAATGTAGTTTTTAGATCTGTAGCTTTAGTCCCAAAAAATATGAGCTATTTTATATTTTTTAAAGCCCTGCACCCTACCCTATGCACGAAACAAACATTTAAAACAAATACTTTAGATTACTTCCTTAAAAGTGGAAAGGTTCAAGGTGATAGTGTTAACAATACGACAGTGCTACGGCAAAAAAACTTAAGTCGTCAAACGCCCCCCTCGCCCCTCCCCACAGCCTGTTTAACAATCTCTGACATAAATTATTTTCAGGAAATAACAGCTGAAGAAGTTGCAGAACTCAGACAAGAGTTAGAAGCCCTTGAAGAAGTAGCTAAAGCACTGCTCAACATTGTTGAAATGCTTGAGCTTCTTGAGCAACGAGTCTCATCTGGTCGTGTAAGACGTGATGATGTTCCTGCTCCAACCACGTGCGAGGATCTCACAAACTACATTGAAAAAATCAAAACCTCTAAGGGAGTTGACGCTTTGCCATACGCCATTGCCATGGATACGTACTTTAAAGGAGTTGTGAATGAAGAGTCACCATACATTTCGTGTGAGTCTCTTAAGGCAGAGGTAAAGGCTACTGTGGAGAAGGTTGAAAAAGCCAAGAAGGAAGTTGCCAATAAGATTCCACCGGAACAAAAGATCCCAACTACCGAACCCGTTGATACAACAACCGCCGAACCCGTCGATACAACAACAGCCGAACCTGTCGATACAACAACCGCCGAACCCGTCGATACAACAACTGCCGAACCCGATGATGGAGTTTCCAATACAACAACTGCAGAACCCATCGATACAACAACTGATATATTTTACTTGTTTGAAATGCCTGTCAAGGTTGTTTACACACCTTCCGCCTTTTTCTGATTTATTCTTCAGAGGAAAAAAATAAAGCAATCCGATTACAATAACATTTGGTCAGAATATTAAATTTCATCTTTTTGATTTTAAATATATAATTAGATTTTACATACGTAATTATTTTCAACAGTATGATTACTTGAAAGTGTCAGCATCGTGCAAAGAGAATAGAATATATATTAGAGGGGAATTTACTAGAAAAATTGTAAAACGGAATGGAATATCATTTTATAGAAAATCTAAAACTAATGTTAAAAGAAAACCAAATTATGAAATAGGCTGGTTTCATAATTGACCAATGATCATTTCACATAGACTCTATGCCTTCCACTTTACAAACGATGATTTTCCGTTATAACTATAAATCAAATGATGTTTTTTATTCACACAATTCATTATAAAGTTTTTTTCAACAGCTTTAAAAATTCGAAATTAAAATGGATAGTCTAGGGAAAATGCTGTATTAATGCACTCTACTACATATAATTTGTGAACATTTACATGATTTGTACACTTTGAATTCCCTTTCAGACCGAAAGGGACTGAAAAAATTCATACCGAGAGATTCTCTAAATTCCCCTCTAATATATATTCTATTCTCTATGGCTTCTAGTCATAATGCCAGATGTTATAAATGTACATCGAGGAAACTTTTCTTCATTTTATTGATAAATACGGCGACAACTATATATTTTACTCAACTTACTTACTGGTTTGCAAGGCAGAGTAGCATATCATCTTGAAGTAAAAACCTTGAAAAAGGGAAAAAAGTACACACTTTTTCAGAAATACATTTTATTTTTGTTTTTAATATTTTCCTTTCAATGGACATAGGAAGGTTTGATAATTTATCATGATTTTAGTCAAAAATAAATGTATATTTTGTGATTCTTAACGGAACTCACTTTTAAAATTCACAATTACTAATCTGAATCTAAATCTGAATAAGATTTTAATGACTGTCTATATCATATGATTAAACTTTGACACTTTATAGACAGGCAAGAAGATAAAAGAACAAATTTCTATTTTTAAATATCTTTATTTTTTAAACCTTTTTTGTTAAAATATCATATAAACCAGGTTTAAATCTAGTTTATGATTTGAATTCAGAGCAAGTACCTGAATCAGGCAAAACATAAAAAAAAATTCGAAATGAAAAAAAAAATTTACGTTAAGTTGGAATCGATCCATAACGTTAAAATTTTGGTATGAAAGCGTACCCTTGACTATTAACTATTTTCCCTCTAAAAAAAAAGATAAATCTGACAATTAGGTCTTGACCAAGTCGTGATATTGAGTTTTGTTACAAAGTTTTGTTGAAATACAGGGTTACCCAGAAAGAATGAGACTTTATATATGATTGTACGGAATTAATCCTGTCTGTTTCCTTATATTCAAGATTCCCTGCAACTGAAAACTGGTTTGTGTCTTTGGCAAATCTTTAAATAAGTCATTAGAGTATTATATCACAGGCAGAATACATGATTTAATTTTGGGATCGTGACATTTTCGGTCGTCTTTACGATCTCATCTTTTGTGGGTAACCCTGTAGTTTAAATCAATTTGCAGGACCAAATGAATCTCTTTAATCTCTTTAATTAAGAACTGTTGTATGAACGGAAAAAGGAAATTAATTCCAATCTCCCGATGGTAAAATGTGATTTAACAAAGGAAAAGATGAGCAGACATTTTGACAAAAAAAGTTATACAGCTCATTTATTTCAGATACTTATTTCAGGTCATTATTAACATTTCTTCTTTTCAGGGTAGTCGTGTATATACAGGGTGTCCCAATAAACATGGGAATTCAGTGACGAATTCGATATCGTCTTCTTAAATAATTCTTTGATTTAGTATAGTGATACCTACTGAGAAAGCTGTAATAAGTAAGAGTTTCGTTTGCTATGTTCACATTGTGTTTGTTTATGTTTTGACTGTATACGGTTGTACTTAGTAAAACAAGAAAATTGCAGTATACAAACAGAGTAAACTTGTCCGTCTTCACTGTTCATCTTGCGAAAACAAGGGATGTAATCTGTCGTCTTTGCAATAAGGACAGAGATCAGGGACAGAAGGGAATCGGTGTTAGGTATAGATCATGTAGTGACATACAGTACATCGAATAAATGAGAGTTGCGGCATCTGTGTACACAGATCTGGGGTATGTAAACAGTAGACAGTTTTTCATCAGTAAACTTGAAAAATTATCCGATGGGCATAACAATACTTATCCAAAACATAAGAGCTTATACCAAGGTAAAACATGAATTTTGTTTAAATAATTTACAATTATAAAGTTTTTGAAAAATCCACATGTCTGCAACAGAGCTAGACTATCCCTCCACGGCCTATGTCATCTGTGGAAATGTTTTTTGAAAGAAGGATGGAAAGCTAGACCAACCAACGCATATTTTGTTTTATAGACTGTAACATATTTTCCGAATTGGATTTGTCTTTAAGGAACATTTCATATTTTTTTTCATATCAAGGGCGTATAGATGGGGTGTTCGGAGGGGGAGGGGGTGATGACAGCCCACGACCACTATATATATCTCACCCCTGACTAACCAGAGTTAGAGGCATTCGGTTTCTTCAATATGAAATCATACTCGTTTTGGTTTATATTTTTACAATCTTTAAAGTTACGGATTTGTTTGTTAAATACTTTTTATTCAAAACATATATATGCCGGCAAAAAAGTATTTAAGAAAGAAGGCTGAAAAATTATGTTAAATAGGAGTAATTGTGATCGAAAGTTCTAGCTTTCTGGAATATTGACAGAACCATTAAATTCACGTGATCTTAAGCTTAAACATAATCTTGTTAAGGTTTCATGATGCCGGGTCTGTCAGGAGATTTATGTACTGCATGAAGTTCACAAGTGAATTGAAGGAAATCAGGAAAATCATGAAGTTCTATTTCAAGAAATCTTTGAGAAAAGAAAAAGTTGGAATTGTGGAGTACTTTACTTTAATTAGAAACCTAATTAAAATATTGTTCTTTTTTCATTAATAATTAGTTAAGCCCAACATGTTGTACATTCTTTATAAAATTATTCTTACAGCTTCGTCAGATTTAGAATTTGTTTCTTTCGAGTTGGATAATGTATAAAGATTTTAGATATTGGTTTACATACCATTTAATTTAACTGTGTCTAGTACTCTCCGTTTAGTTATCAAATAAGCTTTTTAAAGTAAAAAAAGAAATAAAAACATGGCTATTTTTACTGTTTTTGCGATATAATTTTCCGTTTATGGCCTTTCATTCCAAGTTAATTCACTTATCACATAAACAGAGGCATATTGGATGTTAAATTTTTATCATGCATATAAATAGAAATTCTCAATTGGAGCACAAAAAACTTTTGTATATGATAATGAATTTTTTGAAAATTCAAAAACTTTATTTCGTCAATTCAAAAGTGTTTAACTTCAACAGAGATAGTGACATATCTTGCTGGGAACCATGCTTTTTAAGTCAAAAAATTACAATTTAAATTCTTCCAACTTATGCTATGTCAAAAAACCAAAATAAAGTTAACAAATTTAAGATACATCAATAACATTTTTAGCATACAAGTTAGGGCCGAACCGGGGGGTGGGCGTGGACCACGCCCCCATGTGCCCCGCCCCTCTTGTAGGATGAAATGGAAGGAATCGCGCGCTTGGCTGGGCTTATAATTATTAGTATTCTCGAACCCCTTTTTATATCAAAAGAGCCATTTTGAATGTTTTGCGTGATTTTTTTCATATTGCTAAATATTTTTGATTATTTGAACTTTGCACAAGGAGTTAGAAAATCGACTTGACAAATGTACATTAATTGGTTTCTGCATTTTCATTCATGCTTAAAATGACGTCTACAAAAATCCCCCTCTTCTTTAAATGTACATGTTAACCTTTATGTTCAATGATAATTGGTTCTGTACAATTCCCCAATACAAACTGTCTATCAGCATTCTATACTCTACCCTTTCTCCGTGCGGAAACATTATAGAAACATCTTTACAGTATTTTACCCTTTTCATAAAATAAACTCTAGCAGACATAATACTATTATGGCTTTTGAAATTAGGTATTACAATGCTAATTCATAACAAAGACGATATCCAATTCGTCACTGAATTCCCATGTTTTTTGGGACACCCTGTATAACTGTGCATAGGCCTAATTTAAAGTATTTGAACCACGTGTCGCTGAACCGCCAATCACCGGTTCAGATTTTGCGCTGGCTCAAATCTCGAAACACGGTTCAAATTCTTTAAATTCGGCCTCAGTAAATATAACTATTATTGCTTTTAAATCATGTTTTATGGATTTTCTCTCTGATTCTGGTTGAAGTACAAAAAGTTAAAAAATCTAAAAATTTGCAAATTTTGATTATGATCATGTGAACAATTTTTCTAAAACTTTGTTTTATGATTTTAGGAAATTTTACAAATTGCCTTTCACACAAAAGAAGTTTTAAGAATTCATCGCCTCAGGCTTTTTACGACTTAAAAATATCTCGCGTAGTAAACAAATTTAACAATGTCGTCTTCCTGATCTTAATAATTTTTAGGATAAAAAAACTTATTATACAATACTTCTAGTCCTGTGATTACATATGTTTTTTCTTGCTGCAAATCTTAGAAAGACGACATTAAAAACCACTCTTTAAAATATCCATCTTTCAAGGTACGAAACATGACAGTTGTTGAATAGTTTTGAATGTCTTCTTCCATATATTGTATTGGATATTAAAGACTTTTTGCATGTCATGTCGTTAAAGACATATTTTTCTCAAAGATATTTAACTTTAAAATCAATTTTACAATAATATTTTTCATCATTCCCTTTAATGACTTTAATATCAAACATTTTAACTAATTATGGAAGAAGACATTTTACACTAATCACCACTGTCATGGTTCGTGGGGCACCCTGTATTACAAAGATCCAATTCCAATTAAGAAATCGGATCAATTTCCCCAAAAGTGATTTCGTTGTTCACTTACAGATAAATACGCGAGTTTAATCAGGCGTCTTCGTTCAATCTTTTCATAAGAATTGTCGCTAACATTTTGAAATTTGTTGAAGCGTTAAGATTGGTCAGGGTTATCCTCA